TGTTTTCATCTTCGTACTTTCGTTTTTTAATTGAGGACATATCGCACAGAAACTTAGACTAACTAACCGCAATCAAGCTGCAATACCGCCGACGCGTCAATAAACATTGACCATTGTGACGAAAGATTTGCTGACTTGACTGACTTACATTCAAAATTCAACGCCACAGCGATATTCATACTAAAACATAATTTGTCTTAATCATTAACGAAAACTTCTTTACAACTTTTAATAAATTGAAAAAGTTTACATTAAAGTTTTTCTCATAGTTAAAATTTTGATAATAATTTATGTTAGCGAGAAGAGCCGCACAAAAAGTCTGGCGAGCCGCATGCTGCTCGCGAGCCGCGGTGTGCCAACCCCTGGACTATGCTATGAATTGCATATTCGTAAGGTAAACAATGAAAGATGATCACCATGATACGAGCAGTAATCCTGAACTAAACATACTAATATCGAATTGTTCGATGAAAATACTGATCTGTTTTTGGCATTTGCAACTCGTTTACATAGAATTGAGGAAAGAAGTTCAGTTCTAATCAAAATAACATTGGTGTATAATATATCAATATTACCTAATTCGTAATACGAATTTCGTATATATCAGGGTGGTCCAAGGTTGCGAGATTGAAGAGCCGCATGAATTTTTTGAGGATGACTTGCGTGCCGCAGTCGGGAAAACCAAAAAGTAATCAAAATACTGTGAGATCACGTACTTCAGAGATATTAGAAAATGAGAGTTTACCGTTTTAATTGTTATGTTGTATTGGTGGCCTTTTTTATTTTAAGGAGGATATATATATACAGCACAAATAAAGTAAAACAATTTATTGTTTCATGCTTTTGATTGCTACTTCAGATATGCGATTCGCCACTGCTGTCACATGGCCTACGTCTGAAAGTAGAAGCGTGTTTGGTTTTATTAAAATGAAGGCACAGAACGTCCCTCCAGATAAAAAGTTGCTAGACGCGACACGCGAGTTTACGGTGCAAATTTGAGATGGAACGCGCGACTCATCTCATTGGCAATTCATTCTCCTTGCTAAAGTCAAACAAATTAATGTCGAAGGAAAGGAAATCCACGTTATTAGCCAGTTATATTGTAGCCCACAACATCGCTAAAAGAATCGGATGTCATTTCTCCTGATATAAGAAGTAGATTTTTCAGCATCAGTCTTTCTAACAACACAATTATGAGCCTTAACAAATCAAAACTGAGCAAGTAGCTTCATTGAACGCTATCAGTTGCAAATTCTTTGTTGAAAGAAGTGCTTGTTATTTCTCGGGTATTCTATCACCAAATATTATAATTATTAATTTTATTACTGGCCCGCGAATGTCCTTCTGTTCAAAATGTGGCCCGCGGTCTATCAAAGTTGGGAACCCCTGCATTACATGAACGACCCGCTTGCGACGAAACCACCTAGCGAAAATTGAAATGCGATCGAATAAATGAGTTTGTATAACCTTGAAAAACCAAACCTTCACTTCAACCTTTAAAACAAATTATGCTAAGCATAAATAAACCGAGCAGTATTAACCGTGATAATGCTTTCATTTCATGAGAAAAATGTCAAATCCATATTATGGCGTCATACAAGATTAGTTGTGGCGTCTTTGCATCAGAGGATTCTTACATCAATTAGCATAGGCTAGGCCAGGGTGTCTCATCGTTTATATCAGTAGATTGCCGCCGATGCAAGCATATTCTTCATTATCGCGACCCACTCGTTTTGCCAAAGGCTGCCCTTGATCTAATTGCTTTTGTAGTAGGCTCGTGATCTCGGATGCACATTCCGGTTTTATTTGTTATCTTACTTTGATGGAAATATAAACGTAAATGCAGGCCTACGCAATAGAAGTAAAAGTCAAAATAAGAATTTTTACTTACTTTTTTTAAATTATATTTCCGGCGGCGTGTGCAGTTGCCAGAATGCAGGGGTTTAGGCCATGGAAAATTTTAACATGACGTTATCTACTTGTTAAAAACGAGCCATCATCATTAGTCGTTATCAACAGTAGGCAACTTATACTCTGTAGATTGTTGGTACTTTTATATTCAGCGCTATTTAAGTTCTAGAAACCTTTTGGGAGATAGTGATATATTTATGCTTTGTATTTTGGTGATGGAAAATGATGAAACTATTATTTTGCGTAGGCTACATAGGCTTGCGTTGCGCTTAATCATAATAATAAATAACTTTTGAGTAGATAGATGTTATTATAGTCATATTTTATGAAAAATCCGGTATTTTAATTATTCTTGGTGTAGTAAATTACCTTTATCAATTTTGCCAAAACTCGTGCTTTTGATGATTATGTATAGTATCGTTTATTTATAAATATTAGCACGCTATTATCACGCCACTTCTCGATCATGTGATGATATAGGCCTAATTAGCATGCATACGCATATATAAATAATTTCACAAATTGAAATGGCGCGTAATCATATTCAGGTACGAGTTGTCATTTGATTTCAAATGGTAAAGTTGAATTTATTTCGTTTTGCGTTTAGTATCGTTTTAGTCATGTTAAATGTTGTCCAGAATGCATTCGTTTTTTACCTTTTATTAATTAAGCTGCTGTCACTCATCTAAATATGGTATAATTTATGTCGAAAAGATACAAGGCAATGTTGAGTGGTACTGTTCACTTGTATTTTTTAACGATTTTCTTTTGGACAAGCCTCTGCTTTCTTATGGGACTATGACGTGGGTGCAATACAGTACATAGCAACATTATCGTTAGTGAAATGCGGTAGGCTACAATACAAAGTAATATTTTCATCTTGACACCGTCCTAAAAGAGCCGATTTCGACAAATGCCTTATTAGTTGGAACGCTTAACAGATTTTAGGCAGGACGCTTTCATTTCCATATTGAAATACACATCTTGATTATTCCGGCGGGTCCAATGATACCGTCCTAGAAGCGCCGGTTTAGACAAATGTCTTATTAGTCGGGACGCTTAACGAATTTCAGGCTGAACACTTTCATTTCCATGTTAAAATACACAACCTTATTATTCGAGTGGGTATAGGAAAGTCTCAATATGGCCCTACTTGCAAGAAATAGAAACCAAACTTCCAATTCACTCATATTATTATCGTCGAATTGGTGTGACATTTACTGCTCGGTATAAAGGTCCCTTAAAATCCCTTATTTATTTACCTTATTTGTCAGTTAAAATCTGCCGATGTTGAAATATTGCGGAAGTTGAGGTTCAATTCGACTCTCAAACCTCACCACCAATAACAACATCACGATCATGTGAAATATAGTATTAGCATTCCACGTGATAATTTGACGTATTTTGAAATTACGTCATTCTGGCATTGCCGCTGACAAGGCAACCGGCGTTGCGAAATTGTTAACCTTCACCGCGCACATGACGTCTTTCTTAACAGAAAAATTGAATATATCTCACATATACTTATTTATTTATACGTATGAATATCTTGTTAATACGAATTTAAAACCCATGGCACTTTCATACGTATTAGAGAATTGGCCATTAGTGTTTTTAGGTGTTAAGAATATTGTTCAGTTGTCCAAGGGTTATATTCAGTTACTCGTGGTCACGCGACATCGGTCACGTCACGCATGATACCACTCGAGACTTTCAACTGGGTGCCCCCTGCGATTCAGTTTGCTGCACGGAGCCTGGCGAGCGTTTCACTTTTTGTCAGTTTATCGGAAAGTTTAGTGTAAGTTATACAGCGATATAGGAAATACGTGGAAAGTTGTATTTATTTTATTTGTTATGAAGATGTAAAAAAGAGGAGAGTCTAATGACAGATATATAAACCAGTTCAGCAGTTAGCAATAGTCTACTCCAGGCCCGCAGACAGCGGGACAGCGAGAGATTTTGCAGAACACAGAAACAAGCAAAAGTACTGAAATAACGTGCTGTAAAACTGTGTATTGGTGTAAGCACTGACAATGTATTGGGCTAATGTAACAATGTAACTTACCACAGCATCCTGGCAAAAAAATTCAAAATAAAATCTAAAAATGCAGAATCTGAGAAATGAAGTTAGAAACGGTTGAAAAATAAATATTCTAACAATAAAATTGTATTGAAAAAAGTTTTTAGCTTTTAAATATGTTCACACCCAAACTGTGGCCAACTCGTCGATCGCGATCGACCGGTTGATCGCCACGTCTCGAGCAGTCGATCGCGTCTGATGTTGCAGTGTTGAGTGAATTTTAATAAAATACCCCCAAAAATTGCCTTGAACCAGTTTTGTGTTTTAAAACAGGAGGAATACAGTGCTGTACATGCGCAAAATACAATATTCACATACAGTATTTGAGTCTGGGCAAGCCTGAGAGAGCATATTTGTACGTAACAAATGCAATTTTTTCTACTTCTAAGCAAGCGAAAAATCCCACTTTCAGACTTTGAAGAAATTGTAAATTAGATACTGAAGTTTGAGCAGTCATGTAACATTCATGGTTTGAGAATATTTATTTTTCGCTGTTTAGATAATACAGTAATACACGAATACTTTGCAAGGTTTCTTGAAGAATTTCCGACACTTATGACTAAAAATTGGGCACGCCTTATAGCCTATCTGAATTGTATGATTTCAGGATTTGAATAAATCTCAAATAAATGATGAAACATTTACTCCGAATACAATTAAATAATCAAATCAACAACTTAAATAGAACATAAAACACACAAATTTTGTGTCGATTTTATTATGAATGTCAGAATGTGGAATTTTTTGTATGTGCTTGCGTTGTATGATTTTTTTGTATGCGTGTGTGTATTTATCTGCATATCTAGTACTCATTCGTTTTTGTGTGGGACCTTATTGCGGAACAGTCGATCGCGAGCTATTTTAAAGATTTTAGTCGATCGCGATTGAAAGCAGGTTGGCCCTAGTATACATGATATAACCCACTGCTTCATATCGAATAAACAGGGCAACGCCATACAATTGTTGATTAGGGCTTGTCTTACTTATGTGTATTCCTTTCTTCATTCAGAATATTTAAATTTAATTTATTAAAGGTTAGGGTTTTTGAATAATTCCACAGGATTATGTCGTGGTGGTGGATATCCTTCTTGTATGTTGTCGAAGCATTCTGTGCATTTGGAATTGTGTTAAATATTGTTTTGTATATAATGCACTTGATATCCTATACATACGCGTAAGTATCAGCTTTTTCTTTATTTTTTACTTTGAAAATTTCTGATTGTGGTGTAAATGAACAGTAGGAATAAACACTAAAGCAGGGGTGTGCAACCTGCGGCCCGCGGGCCAAATGCGGCCACACAGAAAAATAGAGCAGCCCGCGGGCAAATGCCAATTTTGAATGGTGTACGGCCTGAAAACTGAGTTTTCAATTTAGTTTAATCTGGTTCTTTCGCGGTGTGAAGCCTTCAATTTATTATCTATACAAACCCATGTCGTTACAATGCCCTAACAGCTAGCTTGTGCAAAGCGTCCGGGTCGGCCCGTGGTTTTGGCCATTTATTTGTATTTGGCTCTCCTGAAATAAAGATTGCACTCCCCTGCACTAAAGCATTGTTGTTATCATTCCTGCATTTTATCTTCCCACTTTGACAATATATACTGGGATACTGAAACTTGGTTTATTTTTATAGCCTGAAGAATTCAGTTTGTTTTTCCAATATTTCTTTTTCTTTCCAGGAAACTTTATATGAATCGGAAACCCCCGGAATTGATGAAAGCAGAACTTCAAGGTGTTTCTATATTAAAACCTTTAAAAGGAGCAGATTCTAATCTTGAAGAAAATTTAGAATCATTTTTTGAAATTGATTATCCAGAGGTTTGTACTTATCATTGTTTGTCAGGCAATTGTTGAACCTAACCTACGGGTTAATGCATTTGACCTGTATTTGCATGGAAGATAAAGGCCCTATGCCCACAGTCTCACCATGGTCTAATAAATTATAATGGCAACGTCTAACCAGATTTATTCTTTGAAAAATTAGTAGCTCATTTGGTATCAGTTGCTATTTTTAAATATAGCTATGTTCCGAGTAAGAGTGTCGAAGCTTTTAATAATAATAAAGAATCTCATTCACTTCTGAATGACTATTGTGTCTTTACCTCTATCATTTTTTTTCCAAATCCACAAAAATTACCTATTGTTGTGTAATCAAAACTTTGATTTATCAAAATAGTCTGACCAGGATTAGAATTTATACTGGACAACTTGATATGTGGAGAATTTGAGAGGGAATTTAAGAGGCCTAGCCAGCAACACAATGACCTCATTACATCCTGAGGTGTCAAATTCCATCTTTTGAGAGATAAGATATTGCACATCCTATGCATGCTGTCTTTGCATGAATCATGTAAACCATATGTAGAAGGCATGCTGCAGAATAGGAAATAAGTATGGTACATTACAACAAAATTTATAGCTCACGATATTCATTCTTGGTAGCATATGTTTATTAATTCAGGAAGGAAACAGAATATTACTCCACATTACGGTGTACATGTACCATGATTGCATATCTTTATTATGGTATCTATTTCATGCACTGTATGCCTGATATCAATATGGTGGGCTTTTGTGGCACATATGCTTATAATGTCTTCCTTCAAGTTTCTTATCACATCGAAAGTGAAGCCATATGTTTCTTTCTCATGAATTTAGCCAGATCAAGTATTTAAACTAAAAGTCGTATCTTATAATAATATTTTTCACTTTGATCGTTATAAATGCGAAATACCTGTGCTGTTCTAATAAAATGGAAAAATATTAATCAATCGCACTATATGCCTCAAATTCATTTATTTATTTCAACATTTTTGTAATAATTTTATTTCTGAAATTTGGATTTTGACATAATAGGCTATTAATTGGTGTTAGGTGTATCTGCATCATTACTCCAAAGTGGGCAGGTTGGATATTTATGTTTTGATTACTGAAATTTTTCCCAAGTGTTGCTACACTCTGGGTGCTGAGTGCTGACTTAATATCTTTTTTTTTATCTTAACTGGATTCCATTGGTAAAATGGTTTAATTGAATTTCTATGAACTGTAGAATAAACATATAATACAATGCTAATCCTAAACTTTGTGTGCATAATAAGCCATTATGAATATACAGTAATCTGTGCAGAAATCAATTTTAATAACAAGACCCAAATTAGCATTTCGATATTTCATATTTAAAAAATTATCAACATTCAAAAATTTCATTATGCACTCTGAAAAGTAGATTATCTGTACTAAGCAATTGATCCTAAAGTTAATACGATCCGATACATAATCCATGCCTTGAGTTACATTTATATCCTACCACTGGTCTGGTGATAAAAATTTAATGACCTAATTTTCTTGATAATTATCAGCTTTCTTAACGAAGTCTATCTGGGCATGAATGTTTGATGAAAGTGAATTTTCTTTTCAATTAACTTTGCACAGATTTATTTTTATGGTTTGTCTTCTTGTTGATAAAGATGTTCATACCCTTATCAATAATATTGTAGAGTGCATAACCTTTTACTATGTAACATATACCGGTATATATAAGGTGTTGCAAAAGTATCTACCTTTTTTATATCGCAATTAACAAAGGGAATTTCTTGATACTATAGTTTGTTTCCCAACCGAATACTTAGTTTTTTTCACACCTTTATAAATTTTTTTTCAAGATTTGAACTTTTTTTTTTACTTACTGTGTTTCAGTATTACTTTGTTTTATTTTCCCCAAAAAAACGTTATTAAAAGACAGCATATTGCTAACATAAAACTTTTTTTTTCAGTATGAAATAATTTTCTGTATACAAGATGAGGATGATCCTGCGAATGAAATTTGTAACAGAATAATGGCAAAACATCCAAATATTCCATCAAAGATAGTAAGAGGTATGTAATGGTAAGAGTATGTTGCAAGAACGAATAATATAATATATGTTTATTCATTTCCCAAATGTTTTAAATAACTTTTAATTCTTAATTAACACATAACACATCGTGGAATTTTATTTATTTCTCCTAAATTTTCTTTTTCTTGAAAAGTGTCTTTCTGCCCAGATGCACCATAGACTTTGCTGAAGTATGATTCATTTTTTATTCTGGTTTTCCAAATGATTTGTGTGACCTACTTTCGGATAGCCTACATTTTTTCCAACAGTTTTTTGAAAATTCATCACCTAAATTATTCCTAATTCCAACATATAAAGTGCTGTATACAGTAAAGTTAATTGGAATAATGCAGCAACGAATTCTATCAGCCTACCCATGTATTATCATATCGTAGGGTATTTGTCTAGAGCTGTATTCAGTGCTGTGTGAAACATCTGCCAATAATCTGAATGTTCATTGCAATTTTGAGTTAGATAATATGCTGACAGTGTATCACTAAACATTATTCTTTGTTCGACCACTTTGCATTTATTTTCGATACTATGCATCAACCTACAGGTGCAGAACCGGTAATTAGTCATGAGGAAATGACTTGCCTCTGTTACCGGTTGCATTGAAGATTAATCGACCATTTATAATAATATTTAAAAATTATTTTGTGTTTCATGAATATATTCAGTTTGATCATAAAGTATTGTAATAGGTGGCTATGTTAATTAATATTGCTATGCCCTGTCTATAGATATCCCATATCCACTGTATTTCTGTAGAGTTAAGGAATGCAGCAGCATATACACACAGCATAATGAATATATACAGCATAAAATTTCAATATTTCCCCAAAACTGCTAGTCATGTAACGACTCTGATATAAAGGGCCACAATTAGGGATGTCTATTGAAATTAGGGTGCTCTTGAAAGTTTTATAAAATAAAATATGAATGACCAAAATTAGTGTGTCGAATTTGCCTTTAGACATCCAGATCCTTTAATTGGAACTTTGTCACGCTATTAAAAATTATATTATATAGTCTACATTGACCGAAATTCAGGAAAATTACTGACACTTCAAAAGGAGTTTTAGAACATGTTACAGTATTGCATTTGCAATCCCACCTTGTGACATTGAATTTATATGGAAAATACGATAAGAATATGAGATACTCTGTAATCTTCAACCAAACTTATAATAATAGAGGCATATAATTGTCTGATTTAGTATCAATTTTTACTCTGAATATTATACTCTTAATTGAATCTGGAAAATTTTGATATTTTTCAATGAAACCTCCAAAATCAAATTTAATATTAAACCAGAGTTCTAAATTACCAAACAATATCTTCAAAGTGTAATATATAGATCCATCCACTAAGCGCAAGTCTTTTGACCTAAATATTGTGCCAGGTAATTTGAACCCTACCAAGGAATTTCTCTCTATGCTTTTTTCACATAAGTCATTGTGGCATCAATTATTCTGTATTATGCTAAGACGTAGAGGCCCTTCAGTCATAATAATGGTGAATTGATTTTGAATAGCCGGCACGTCACACCTATGTTAGTATTGCTTTAGTTACGCCTGTGTGTTTTGTGTTCTTTACCTTTATACATACACTATTACGAATAAGCTGACAGGCTTTGTATACACAAATGACGTTTCTCATAGGTCACTTATCACGAACTAACAAATCGTGATCATATAATATGACATGGTGACATGTATGATATCATTTTGATAGTCTTAGAAATCATGTTAAGTAACTAGGATATCTTTTATAAATCACTGAATTTTAAATTGCAAACATAATATGCTTATGTACCAAATTTTGCTGCTATCAATTTTTCCAATTGTAGTTTATAGTCCATATTTACATCCACAATTCGGTGCTCCAGATAACTAGTTCCATTCGCCTACTTTACATCAAGTTGTGTAAAGGGACTCAAACCTGTGGGCAGGGGGTATATTCACTTGGCTTACACAGACAGTCCCCAAACTCGTAATAGAACTGAATTGAGAAAAAATCGGAATAAAATTTAGGCTTAAGTCTAACCTGGTACACATACTACGGGAGTACCCACAATTCTATCTTAAAATATATTTTTCCATACCCTTTCCGCCTCTTGATTTGTATTTTGAGTCTAAATTTGTTCCTGGTTTACCTAATGAATACCTATTTCTTTTCCAGGTGGAAAAAAGGTTGGGCCAAATCCCAAAGTCAACAATTTAATGCAAGGTTACAATGTAATGAAATATAATTTATTTTGGATTTGCGATGCTGGAATCAGAGTTCTTCCATTAACATTACGAGATCATGTTGATAAAATGACAGACAAAGTTGCGCTTGTTCATGCGGTACCTTACACAGCTCATCGGAAAGGCTTTTCAAGCGCAGTTGAAAAGGTAACACAGATTTATGTCCAGCTAATTGGTTTATTGTTTTCCCATTTAACAAGAAACAAATTTTTCACCCCTAGGAGAGGTACCGTAGATTGAAATTCAATGTCTGCTGAATGTTGTAATTTCTCTTTCCCAGAATAAATCTGTTGCCCAAATTAAATGGTATCATCATGGCTTCTGAAAACAATAGGCTATAGTTTGTTTGAATTTTGCATAAGCTTTATGAAAAATATATTTTTGTTAATTCCCAAAAGACTTTTTTATAAAATACATTCAACAGCTCCATTTTAGATTATTATTATACCAGATAGTAATATATAGGCCTATATAGCTCGCGACCTACTTTCTGACATTGCATATTATTTATTACATCAAGCATGACTCAAATTCTATCTGACAGTTTATTGATCCTATCAAATGACTTCCTTGTGTGTGGGCATCAATCAGTGTTCTTGAAACTCAACCGCAATGAAATTTTGGTTATAATCTACCGTACCTTTTTAATAGAAACTTTTAATTTGAGTATTTTTATGTCCGTTTTACGTAAATTTTCAATCACTCCCCCAAAAAGTAGTCCCTCATTTTTACTTGTAAATATTCTTTATTGTTTAAAAAAAATTACCGTATATTATTCTCTTCCATCTAACATGTATTTTTGAGGCATTAGATTTGTTTCAAGAGTTCTTGAATATTTAGATATATAGACTCAATAGATTCCTATTTATCTTTTCATTTCCTTAATTTCCTATGCTAATCACCATGACAACCATTTTTGTTTAGATATATTTCGGTACACAACATGCAAGAGTTTATATAAATGCGCACATAGCAGGGATTATATGCATGACAGGAATGTCTACTCTAATTAGAAGAGATGTGTTTGATAAATGCACGGGAGGTCTCAGCACTCTATCACAGTATATAGCTGAAGATTACTTCATGGCGAAATGCCTTTCTGATAAGTAAGTCGAATTCTTTTGCATTTTTTTGAACATGGCGCATAGTTTATTGATGATAAATAAGAATAATCTCGGAGGCGGCGGAATATAATGAATCATAGCATTGTTTCGCTTTAATGGTTTCAAGCATTTGTTAGTCTGCAGGGAGCAGTATGTAAAATTATCTAATTCATCAAATACGTTCAATCTTTTTAAAGGATTATATTGCTTATGATAATATGCGGTCTAAGCCTGTATAATCACCATTTATAAACACAAAAAATCTGAAATACACAATATTACACTCCATAGTATTACGTGCAAAATTATTTAATTTCTCAATTCTAATATTCAAGTTTCTACCATTTTAGTACACTCGATAAGGATCTACCGTATTTAAAATGACTGTTGCACTTTTGGTAATGTGTCTAAGCCCATAAAATCACCATTTTTAAATAAAGATGTCTGACACATATTACAATAAGTTGTTGTTTTTGCAAAGAGAGGCAAAATTATCCAATTTACTTATTCAAGTGTATTTTAATTTGGGATTTTCTGTACTTAATTTTTAAAAAAGTATTGAAGAGCTCGAATCACCATTTCAAAAAATAACTGGGCGTGATGGCCTATTGGTTAATTGCTGGTTTAGGAATTATTTTAAGAAAGTCTTTTTATTTTAACATGCCACAATCCACACATGGTTTCTTGATAAATCACGAAACAGGCATCATAGTAATGACTCATAGATTTGTTCCACTCGGGTGCTTCTCGGTGCACTGTAACACATGTAAAATAAACTATTATTGGCGCTAAGCGCTGTAAAATGTTACCGATGCATGGCTAAATCGATTGAGAAATTTGCAGTCATTAAACTTGAAAACCATTCATTTTCTACGAAGTTCGATGGATGGCCGGGAATTATTAATAAAGAGCGTTACACTCATTAAGTCATTAACTTTTTTACCAATTAGTTAAACATAAAAAGTTACTTGTTTTCTATGAATTTCTATTTTATTAATATCCCATTGAATTCTTGTGTTCAGTGAATGGCCGGGAATTATTAATAAAGAGAGTTGCAGTCATTAACTTTTTTACCAATTAGTTAAACATAAATAGTTACTTGTTTTCTATGAATTTCCATTTTAATATTATCCCATTGAATTCTTACGTGACTTGGGACCTGCTAAATTATTAGAAATGGTAACAGAAGTCGGTTGAACAACAGTTAAAAATTAAGGACTTGACTAAAATGGAAAATTATGCAATGTTAGTATATTTGTGCATGAGGCCAAATGTGATCTTAGCGAGGGATGGCCGAAACGGATATATTCAATTCAATATTTGAAGTTTTTGATTCTAGAATAGTTTCATTAAAAAATTATCGTTTAATCAATTATTAGGGTTTCTTAGTGTGATTAAAAAGTACGTTTTACAAATCCCGAATATTGTAAAATATATTATTAAACCAGTCAAATTTCTTTTATCTTAACTTGCTTTTAATCCCTTTTAAACTCCAGTTTTCCAATACTAATTGCATTTTATGTCGATACGAATGAATAATTTCTATTTTATTTGTATTTTAATAAATGTGTTCAACGAGGAAGTTTAGTCAGAAATTTGTTCTTTTACTCTCGTGGGAAATTAAAAGCTAACAGATTGAGGGTGCATTTCAAAATGTTCAAATAAAAAGTCTGACAACTTGATGTTGTGTTGTTTTTTTTAAAGCTTATTAATGTAGGCTATCCAATAAAGTATCTTTTTATTAACTTGCAATCATCATTATGAATAAGGATAAATAAATTTGGTAGCCATCTCACAATGTAACATTCAACTGGATTTTATGCTCCGTTTACACTCTAAATAAATGTTGGCTTTCTCTTTTTGGTCTTCTTTGGAAAATGATACATATTTCCTAATCTACACTGCTTCTTGCTACCAGTGCTCTATCTGAATGGCAAGATAAATACTTTTTTCAAATTTTCGTTGAGAAGTATTAGCCTATTTAGGAAAAAAAATTTTTTTTTGTAAATTGATTAATTTTTTGGCGCTCCATAAGTGTGTTTTGTTTACCATAACTAATTTTGTTTGCCTACTCTACATCAAGCTGTGCATATCACCTGGCTAACACAGACAGTCCTGAACTCGTAATAGATCTAAAATAAGGAAAATCGGAATAAAATTATGGCCTAACCCTAACCTGGTAAACACACTACGGGAGTACCAATTTTTTTACCTTACTTGCTAGTGGATATACTCTATACAAATTTTGTCCATGTTACATAATTATTTTTATAATAAAAGTTTTGTTTATATTTTCAGTGGTTGGAGGTGTGCACTGTCATCGTATCCAGCACTTCAAAATTCTGGGCAGTATAGCATCAGAGGGTTCACAAAGAGAATGTCAAGGTAAATATTTGCAAGAAAGTTCACTTATTAGTTATTATCAAAGCTCATGTACACTCGCTCAGAAAGGGCTGACACTCTCATGCACACTCGCTCAGAAAGGGCTGACACTCATGCACACTTGCTCAGGGAGGGTTGACACCAGTGTTCACTATTAGCGCACTTTTTTGCGAAAATTGCGAAGCACTTTCGCAACTATTTTTAGGGACTGCGAAATAGCACTTTTTTCCGATTTTGAAGAGAAATAGCACTTTTTTCCGATTTTGAATGGAATAAAAATTCGAAGTTAACAAATATTTTCGAGTATTAAGTTGACAAATAAGTAACATACTGGTACTTTTGTAACTCAATTCTGCATATCATAACGATATTTACCGGAATTCTAACCTATGAGATGCAGACATAGGAGATAAAGCTTTTGCATTAACGGCAAAATTCTTGTTTATAATATGATTATTATACAAGCACACGGATTCCGAGTGCTCGAGTGCCTAATAGACGTCAGGCGCTAATTGTAACTAATTCCCTCAAGTTTCAACGTGTTTTCAACAAAACAATACCCCGGCGATAATTATAGCTAAAATGTTACCGAGCAATTCACAATTTTATTTATGGAATTCGCAAATTCACCAGTTTCTTGACGATTTTGATGTTGTCACGCCCTAATTATTAGTGCAAAAATACTCCCCTTCTTCCGCGGCGGTTTGACGGGTTCTTTGTTCCATTCTTCAGAAAGTTCTGACACGGGGATATAGAATACTGAATCCGGAGGGTTGAATCCCTGTCCACTTACTGGTGATTTTTCGTTTTGAAATGCGTGAAACATTCTCTATTTTAAATTAAATGACGTTTCGCGAGCTAGAGTTCTCCCCGAAAATTATGTGTTCCAGACGTTAGTTAGACGATAGATAAAACATTAGATTAATAATTTTCGTGACGCCCCGTTTTCGAAAATACAAAGTTATATCGCAAAAAAATGCGTTATGATACATTTGGAATGAAACATTATTTACGGTGAATTCAGATCACATTTTACTCTCCACGACACCCGTTTCCGAAAATACAAGGTTATATGGCGAAAATGTGTTTTGTTACATTTAAAATAAAACATTTTTGCGATTAATTTAGATCATATTTTACTTTTCAGGAAACCCGTTTTCGAAAATACAAGGTTATATCGCAAAATGTGTTTTGTTACATTTAAAATAAAACATTTTTGCAATTAATTTAGATCAAATTTTACCTTTCACGGCAACCCGTTCCCGAAAATAGAAAGTTATATCACAAAACATGCGTTTTGTAACATTTATTTAGCATTCCCAATAAAATACATATTTTCCCTAATTAAGGTCGTCGATGAATCTGTTCCTGTCGTTCAAGCTCGACACACGTTTGGACGAGTGTGGGGCGGTTTTTTGATCGACGATAAATTAAAAAGTTGCCACACGTTATTTGTATAACGATAATAACTGAAAATTAAGATTTTATAATAGAAGTGAATTTGTCTCAAGATGGTATTTTACAATTCCTGCCCACAGAAAATAAACACGCTGACAGGCTTGGTTATAATTGATATTCGTTTAATTTATTTTACACTATTAATAAACGCGCCACACCAATTGCGACCATATAAATTGCAGTCGCATCGGTATGGACTGTATGTTTTTGGCACTCTCAAATTAATAATAATTTTCAACAAAACAATACCCTGACGGTCATTAAAGCTGAATTCGTTACCGAATAATTCGCAATTTTATTTATGGAATTCGCAATTTCAAGATCTCACTTGACGATTTTGATGATGTCATGCCCTAATTATTACTGCTTAAATGCCTCAAAATACAGCAAATGTAAGCATTTTCGACGATAACAGGCGCAACAATTCGTAAACGAGCCGTTATAACGAAATTCGCGATTGATTTTACCTCTCTCTTGTTTACAATTTTAACATCCCGCCGGCCATGTATGGTCGAATAAAATGTTCACATATTCGAAACATGACTTGGCCAAGGATGGAAGGGATCACTAAAGAGCTAATAGAAAGTACATACGCGAGGGTATGATATTAATATCGAGAATATTTGAGCATATCACAGGACGGAAATATTTTGCACCCGGCTGTTTGTTGGCAGAACAACGATACGCTAAAGTTAATTGATCGAATACAGGGAAGTATTTATTTATCATCTCACTTGCGAACATCGAGGTTTTGGCGGAATTGTACGATCATGTACGATCATTTTACTTTTGCGTCTTCGGTTTTGGCGGAATTGTACGATCATGTACGATCATTTTACTTTTGCGTCTTCATTATATGTCTGGTTTTCATTTATTTTAAATTCGAAATTGTCCGAAATACTCCAACAGGTGTGTAGGTACAATAATAATAGTACTTACCAAAGTACCTACCAGGGAAGTTTAATACACACGATGTGTAAAGGGCGTCGTAACTCCCGTTTATTAATTATAAATTTTTTTACATTCTGCTTAAAAAACAACGGCAGTCATCTCACGTAACTCTCGCGACCAAATCTTTTTTGTTTTGTATGGCATCGTCTTGGCGACGAATTTATTGCCGACTGAATTTTAATTGTGTTTTAGGTTAGTTATTTTCTGTTTGTTGGTTTCTAAACTTTACAAACTTGGGTAGCAATTACTATTAATGTGAGATTTGTGCATATGAACGATTGAATATCGCGACTGGATGTCCGATATCTGAGAATGCGTAATTCTCTTTCAACATTAATTTTCAGGATATCAGCGTTCATGTGGTCGAATAAAAATTATTTATCAAATGGATTGGTATTTCGAGACACTCTCAAAATTATTTGGGATCCATTATCATATCATTCGTTTATTTTTTATATTCATGTTTTTCTCAAGAATCACCCTCGTTATATTTAGTGTACCTTCGCAAAAGAAAACTCTTTGATGTCATCGTTCCTATTAGTGTTATTGAAATATATGGAAACCTCGCAAGTGGCGTTGTGATGCGAATATTTGATACTAGGTCAGCAGCATTACGAAGAGTGCTATTTATGAATGCTGAAAGTACATGACATTACTAAACATTTTGCCAATATATGATGTTTTCTGCCCGATTTAAACTAACTCGCACGCAAACCAAGGCATGTGGACATTTAAAAATTACTTGTCTTTGGGTAAGCTCTGAAATAGTATAATATAAATGTAAATGAGGAATTAGGTCACGCTAGCTCACGAAACAGGAGGATTTTCAAAGTGATCTTGTGTAATATTTCGGAGAATAAAGTTTGGAAGGAAAGTAGGTCAACCTATCTCCTAAAACAGGGGAGTATCCTGCATAATATTTCGGAGGGAACGTAGGTTAGCCTATCTTTTAAAACAGCGGGTGGCGACTTTCAAAGTGGTTCAAAATCACAAATTAATAATTATCAGATTAGGTTTAGGGATGAATCGAAAAGTTGAATTTCTAGCGCACCTAACCCTAATTAGTTGATTGCTATTTATATTGGGGGGGGGGGGGGGGGGCACCGGATTTGTACAAACGATCCACCCTGTAATTAATATGGTTTCCAGCCGGCCTCGTGTCTGTTAGATGGAAGGAGTAACAAATGTGAAAGTCTTTGCTGTTTACGCGAGTAAGCAACTGACACCGTGATACATTGCATGAAAGTTTTGTCCGTGGCAGGTGTTAGCAGATGTCATTTCGTTGCCGATGAATTCGCTTGTTTTAATTAAACATGAATTCGCTTAAAGGGATTCCGTTAACGAAAAGGCTTCTCTTTAATTCATAATATTAACCGGATGAGCGCTTTTTCGAGTATCTATGCCGTTTTAAATGGGTTATATGAAAGGCTAGGGCACCTAACTTGTTAAAATCGGCAAAAGCACTTTCGCACTTTTTTTTTGGACTGCGAAGCACTTTCGCACTCATAATTTGCTTAGAGTTAACACTGGTTGACACTCATTTACACTCACTCTGAGAGTGTCGACACGCTCATGCACACTCCCTCAGAGAGGGCGGACACTCATACACACTCGCTCAGAGGGGGTCAACACGCTCATACACACTCGCTCAGAGAGGATGGCAACTCATCTCTGAATATGACCACTGAAATGGCAAGAATTACTCAGACTGTTTTAATAATATTTGTACATCAAATTTATGATCGAGTTTATGTATCTGAAACAATTATCTTGATAACTATTCTGATATCCGACAGGGACCGGTAACCGGAAAAGTATAATGGTTCGTCATCTTATCGGCTTTTCACACCCATGATAAATATAAAAATCTTATCCATAATATATCGAGATTTCTCCGGGATCAGTACTACAAAGCATAATAGGCTATTGATAAACTTTTCCATCTGATATTACCTTGTCAGCATTTGTTCATGTATGGTCAGTGCTACTGACAACTTTTTTTTTAAGTACAAGTGATCTTGTATTAATTATTAAGTAAATTTCCACAAAAATTGCATATTCGATCCAAATTTATATTCTCTAAAAAGTAAGAACCCACTCCATGGTTTGTTTGTTTGTATTTCTTTTCAAGGATAATGTATCATTGTAACCCTGTCTACGGAAATCTGAGATAATTATTGCTATGGTGAGGATACCTCACTGTATCATATCATATCCAATCTTTCTATAGATTTATGAGAGATTTTTTTAAGTAGGCTATAAGATTACATCTATTGGATAGGTTACATTGTATGTTTTACCCTATCAGTGTATAGGCTATTATACTTTCTAACTTACTTGGTATTTATGGCCAAAACCAAATATTCTATTTTTCGAGTACATTCATTATGATTAGGCTATTTTTGAAAATGGAATATTGGACTATATTCTCAAACTCGGCCCGCCAATTAGTATGGCCCTTGTCAACACTCAGGTTTTTCCCCATCAAGCATAAAATCCCAATACGGCAGTTTGTTTTAAAAGGCACTCACAATGGTGAAAATACATAATGATTTTTGCTCCTATTACTGCATTTCATCTTTCGCCATTTTGCC